AAGCCAATGATCAAATCACCAACACGGAGACCAAAGCTCTTCAAAAGACGGTAAAGCCAAACAAAAGATCAAAGCCACGGATCGTCCAAAAAAAGACATCAAATCCAAAGTCGATGATCAAATTGCCCACATAGAGACCGAAGCTCTCCAAAAGGCGAAAAAGGCAAAGCCAAGATCAAAGCTGCGTATCGTCCAAAGAAGATATTAAATCCAAAGTCGACGATTAAATCGTCCACACGGAGACCAAAGCTCTTCAAAAGTCGGTAAAGCTAAATCAAAGATCAAAGCCTCAAATCGTCCAAAGAGGACATCAAATCCAAAGCCGACGATCAAATCGCCCTTACGGAGATCTAAGTCCTCCAAAGTCCGGCAAAGTCAAACCGAAGAACAAATCTCTTCAGATCAAAGAAAGCCATCGAAAACCAAGTTGGAAAATAAATTGACCAAGAAGGAGAATCAAATGATCAATTTAGAGAATAGGACCCGCTTTAAATCCAAATCAAATATAATTTGTACAAAATTTGTTTTTATTAAAAATAACACAATTTTTTGTCTATAGATTTTTGGCATGCCCAGTGGGACCTCTCTACCTTTCATCTCTCTTTCCAACGAACTCTCAACAACCAATGGCTTCCTACAAGATCAAGACGTCCAACGCTGCGTCAAAAGCTGGTGCTCAAGCCACAGCCGCCAAAGGACTCGCTGCATCCACCGCATCAAAAAACTCAAGCGCTTCAAGAAATGTTGGAATGACAACAAGAAGCATGACCAAAAGAGCGTTGTCGTTGTCTGAAGACACTCCTTCAAAAATCACAGAGCAAAGTCCACCTTATGAAGAAGACGACAACTTCAAGAGTGTTGCCGCGTCGTTCAACCCTCAACAAATTGCAAGTCATTCAACTGCATCAAGCTCTGCTCCAGTGATGACTACCAACGCTTCATATATTGATGACCCAAAGATTGTGGATCAAAAGTCTGCTCCGCGAGGAAGATCAAAGCTTCAAAGACACTTTCATGCCACACACTCATAAGCCAACTTTTCAAGTCATTCGACTGCATCAACTTTTGTTCAAGTAATGACTATCAACGCGTCAAATATTGAGGACCAGCTTGCTGCATCGGCCGAAATCGTTGAAGGAATGTCTCAACACATGCAACAACAAGATGCCCTCATCGAAAAACTTCTCACAAAGCTGGACAAGCCTGAAGAATCCAGTCATGCCATCGAAAAGCAACTATCTTCCCCAGCGGCCCAAAATAAAGCAGCAACATCTGTGGAGAAACGTCATGGCAAAGAAAAGGTGGCGGAACCAAATCCATTTCAAGGATCATCCAACTCCGTCATTCATATATCCTAACTTGACAAATACATCAAGGGGACAATCAAAAGAGAATTCAATGGGAGTTCAAGGCCGACGCACACTTATGCCAAGCCTTACACTGCAAGGATTGACGCCCTCAAAATGCCAACGGGCTATCAACCACCAAAGTTTCAACAATTTGACGGCAAAGGCAACCCAAAGCAACATATAGCGCACTTTGTCGAGACATGCAACGATGCTGGAACATATGGAGACCTCCTAGTCAAACAATTTGTGCGGTCACTGAACGGCAACGCCTTCGACTGATACATCGACTTATAGACTGGTTCCATCGACAATTGGGAACAACTAAAGTACGAGTTCTTGAATCGGTTCTACAGCACACAAAGAACTATCAGCATGACCGAAGTTACCAACAACCGCCAATGGAAAGATGAGCCAGTAATCGACTACATCAACCGTTGAAGAAGTCTAAGCCTCAACTGCAAAGACCGTCTGTCCAAGGCTTCCGACATAGAAATGTGCATTCAAGAAATGCAGTGGGGCTTGAAATACATCCTACAAGGGATCCGACCTCATACTTTTTAAGAACTCGCCACTCGCGTTCATGATATGGAATTGAGCATGATGTCTAGTGGAATGTATGGACCGCCTATTGAAAATTTATCAGAAGATGAGAAATACAATACTTCAAACAATGGGACCAGTCATACCTTCTCCAATCTCCTAGAAAAGAGGATAAACTTTCTGCAATCTCCTAGAAACGAGGATAAACTTTCTGCAATTTCCTAGAAACAAGAATAAACTTTCTACAAGACTCCTTAACACGAGAATAAACTGTTAAACAAAAACAAACAAATTCAATTTGTTTTGAACTACGTTATGACTTAATTCCTTCACCGGATACGTAGGCAACTTGGAATATAACTCCGAGTAAAGTCAATTTTGTCAAAAAAAAAAACCCTAAAAAAATTAATTGGGCAAAGAAAAAAAAATCCAAAAAATTCGAGCTTTCAAAAAAATCATTCGGACAAAAAGAAATGCAAAAAAAATGGCAAAAAAAAAATTTCAGTCAAAAAAAATAATAAATTGACTTATGTTTCGAGACTCATTTACGCCTTAAACGCTTTGCGTCGACTTAAACAAGTCTCAAGGGGGCATTTTGTAGACTAGAAATATGTCTAAATTAAATTAAATATCATATATTTTGGAAGAAAATAAAATTCCAATAAAATAAATATATGGTACTTAATTATGCACATATGTTAATTTTTGTACAATAAATATCAACCATTAATGCAGAAATCTGCTTAAAATGGAAGATATCGTACAAATATAACGTGCATAAATAGAGTCATAATAAATTTGGCAGTAGAATAAATTAATCTTGTCAATAAATGAAGTATATAAATTAATATCTTTCGAAAAAGACAATGATATAAAGATTTTGGCGAGAAAGGAAGGTGCACAATCAAATCCGTCAAGAATGGAAAACAGCATCTGATGAAAAATGAAAGATTATAAAATCTTCATGTTGGTCAATCAGGACGCGCTACGTTAAATCATTCTAAAAGGAAGCCGAGGCCACCCCTCCCCTATAAATAGGAGCCATGGCCAATTCATTTGACACACCGAAGTTACATCGAGGATTCAAGCAAAGGGGTAAGTCTCTAGACTCTCTTTGTATTGTTCTTCATGATCTTCGTGTCCTTCGAAGCGTTCTTCCTCGAAAGTCACTCATTTGGACAAATGATCCAATATTGGTTGATGAATCGATAAAGTTAACGTTCTTCGTCGTATGCCTAAGCCGGAGGAAGGATCAAAGCTCCCAAAGCCTTTGAGGAATTCGTTAAAGCCAAGGGAAGGTCTCCAAAGTTCCTCTCAAAGTTTCAAGATGTTCATCGCGCTCTTCACCAAAGCACCAACTAGGCCCTCTTCGATCCAAAAGTCAAAGGGACACGCAACCAAAAGTGTTATAGAGCACCAAATCTACCTCTTCAAGGATCAAAGCTCTTAAAGCCGTTGAAGAATCCATCAAAGCCAAGGAAGAGCATCCAAAGTTCACCCTAAAGCTTTGAGGTGTTCATCGCGTTCTTCACCAAAGCATCAACTCGGCCCTCTTCAATCCAAAAGTCAAAAGGACACGCCACCAAAAGTGTTGTGGAGCACCATATCCACCTCTTCAAGGAACAAAACTCCTAAAGTCGTTGAGGGATTCGTCAAAGTCAAGGAGGAGTCTCCAAAGTCCATCCCAAAACTTCAAGATGTTCGTCGCGTTTTTCGTCAAAAGCATCAACGAGGCTCTCTTCAATCCAAAAGCCAAAACAAGATAAAATCGTCGGATCGTCTACAAAAGACATCAAATCCAAAGCCGACGATTGAATTGCCCACACGGAGACCAAAGCCCTCCAAAAGGCGGAAAAGGCAAACCAAATATCAAAGCCATGGATGTTCAAAAAAGACATCAAATCCAAAGCCGGTGATCGAAATGCCCACAAGGAGACCAAAGCCCTCCAAAGGCGGAAAAGGTAAACCAAATATCAAAGTCATGGATCGTTCGAAAAAAACATTAAATCCAAAGGCGACGATCAAATCGCCCACATGGAGACCAAAACTCTTCAAAAGGCAGAAAAGGCAAAGCAAAGGTCAAAGCTGCGGATCGTCCAAAGAAAACATCAAATCCAAAGCCGACGATTAAATCGTCCACACGGAGACCAAAGCTCTCCAAAAGGCGGCAAAGTCAAATCAAATATCAAATTCTCGGCCCATCCAAAGAAGACATCAAGTCCAAAGCCGATGATCGAATTGCCCACAATGAGACCAAAGCTCTCCAAAAGGCGGCAAAGCCAAATCAAATATCAAAGTCGTAGATCGTCTAAAGAAGATATCAAATCCAAAACCAACGATTAAATCGCCAACACGGAGACCAAAGCTCTTCAAAAGGCAGCAAAGCCAAACAAAAGATCAAAGTCACGGATCGTCCAAAAAAAGACATCAAATCCAAAGCCGACGATCAAATCGCCCACATGGAAACCGAAGCTCTTCAAAAGACGGAAAAGGCAAAGCAAATATCAAAGTTGCGGATTGTCCAAAGAGGACATCAAATCCAAAGCCGACGATCAAATCGTCCGCACAGAGACCAAAGTCCTCCAAAGTCTAGCAAAGTCAAACTGAAGAACAAATCTCTTCGGACTAAAGAAGTCATCGAAAACCAAGTTGGAAAACAAATCAACCCGAAAGGAAAATCAAATGATCTATTTAGAGAATAGGACTCGCTTTAAATCCAAATCAAATATAATTTGTATAGATTGTGTTTATTAAAAATAACACAATTTTTTGTCAACATTATATATAAAATTCTTATTTTCTATAAAATTAATTTACTTTAATCATAAAAAATCTATTTATGTATTTATTTGTATATATATTTTATTGAAATATAATAGTTAAAGTATTTAATTTTCTAATTATATATAATAATTTTTATTTTAAAATATCAACACAATCACCTGTATGAAAAATAATAAAACTATAATTAACTTTCTCAATTCCATTACTTTAACTATCATCAATTGTTCTTGAAAAGAGGTAGCATATATTTACACTAACTACATTATTTAATGATGTAAATTAAAAGCTTATAATTTTAAAGCATTGACCATTTTGCTTAATTTAAAAAATCAGCATGTGAAACAATTTTATTTGACTTAAAATGATTGGCAGTAGAAATAAGGTGGAAGTAGCAACACAACAAAATAAAGAGGACAAGAATAATGGGAAAGATTGATTTTATTTCTACCATCCTCTTGAATTATTTCTCACTACCCTCCATTTCAATTCAATGGTCGTCACTCAGTCAGTCAGTCAGTCAGTCTATAAGAAATAAATAAAGGAAGAAGAAAGAAAGGGCGTCCTAGCTTGCTTCACAAGATGTGATGCTCCCTCCTCCCCTACCCACGCCATAATAATACTTCAACACAATTCCTTTTTTTTTTCCTTTTTTTTTTTTTTTTTTTTTTTGGGATCTTGGATAAAGATGTAATGAGAATGAAAGGCATAAACAACAACAAAAATAAACAAGAAAAGAAAAGAAAAGAGAATTGATGGGCGAAATGAATGAATGAATGAAGAAATAAGTAAGGTAGGTAGGTAAAGGGTATGAGCTTAGTCCTCAAGCCTAACCCACAAATATGAATATGAATGTGAATATGAATATGAATATGGCTTCTCCCTCCCTCCCTCCCTCCCTCCCATCCAAGATCATCCTCGACTCTCCTCTTCTCTCCTCTCCTCCCCTCCTACGAATGATTGAGTGATTGAGGTGAGGTTATCTTAAATGTTGGACTACTAATTGAAGGGTAGGGGTGGGTGAGGCATAGATAGAGGGAGGGAGGGAGGGAAATGTGAGAGTGAGAGCAATCGAGAGGGAGCGGGTGAGCAAGGAGTAGCCCGTTCCGGTCCATTCTGTTCTGTTAAAGTAAATGATGCTTGCTATCTATCTATCTATCTATCTATCCATCTATCTATATGTTGCTGCTGTTATAATGCCTCACCGATGACTCCAACACCTCCGGATTAGGGCAAATCATTTCCTTCACTCGGACGCCCCTTTTGTATATCTTGAAAGTTGGCACTATCCGAACATTCTCAGCATGTCCAATCGCACTGCTCTCTTCTATATCCACCTGTAGTAGTAGTAGTAGTAGTAGTGGTAGTAGTAGTAGCAGCAGCAGCAGCAGTCAGAGCAACACACACCCAAATATGAGAATGAAGATGACAATGATCCATCAATTTGTATTTGCATTCAAAGATCCAACCTTGATAAAGTTGACGCACGGGTATCGGGTGCATAGCGTGTCCAAGAATGGAGATATTTGCTTGCATTCCATGTTCGATCCCGTTTTGAAAAGAACCACCGACGCACCTACATTATATATATTTTCAAAGTACAATAACAAGAATTCATTCATTCATTATTAATTAGCAAGTATAGGAATGCCTCTATCTATGTATGAATGTGTGTATGTGAGAGTGAGAGAGTACTTGGCGAAGATATTGCAGCTCGGAATTGGTCAAGCCCTGAAACCATCTCAACCTCTCCACCAAATTTCATGTTGTACACCTCCTCCCCACGTGATTTCCTCAATGCAACTTGAGCATGGAACAGAGATTCAGCAACTTCCTTGTCGTCTGGGAGTTCCCGTCTCAAAACCTCATAGTCCCTCACAGCTTCACTCCACCTTTCAAGCTAAAATGGAATAAAGAAGCAGCAGCATCCATTATATTAAGAAGAAATAACAACTCATACCTAGAGCTCGGCTCGAACTTGTTAGCGGTACAGGCTCAGCTCGGCTAAGCTCGTTAAGAATTCAAACTAAAATAATACCTTGAGTTCGGCTCGTCAAACTCAAATTCAAACTCGAGTTCGAATTCTATTCGAATAGTATACATATTCTATACTTTCTAACATATACATTAAGGGGTTGTTTCTTTTGATAAGTTTGGATATATTTTTGTTTAAGTTTGATATTAAAATAATGTACGATGGAATGTTTTGTGAGAGGAAAAAGTGTATTTTTTTCGAAAAATGCAAAGTTCAAATAGTAGAAACCTGGAGTTTTTTGTGTAAAGAAACACACCCTAAATGTATCTAATTTTATTCATTATAATATATTTAAATTATATTACTAAATACAACTTTTGATATAAAATATATATATTATATTAATAAATAAGATAATATAAATATAGCATCACTAACAAGACCAATCAAACTACCCGCAAAGCCGAGCTCAAACTTGGCTAATTTATAGAAATAATAATTTTCGAGCTCAGTTCGTTTATTTCTATAAACAAGTCAAATTGAGCTGTTAACAAGCATAGTCGAACTTGGATTGCGAGCTGCTCGATTTTGTTTAACGGCTCTATTTATAGCACAACAATGGACGATCAAGGTCAATTAAAATGAATGGTTGTTGCCGTTCTTCTTCTTGTTAAGATTATCATTATTATTATTATTATTATTATTATTATTATTATTATTATTATTATTATTTACCTTGGTGTTGGAGATTGCCCTCCGGAGTAGTGCTTTGATGTAATTGGGGTGTAGCCGGAGAGCTTGATTGCAGTCTTCAACAGAGCGTTCCCATTGGCCAAGCTTAAACCAACAAGCAGCTCGGTTGCAATAGAGCACCGAATTCAAAGGATCATGCTTGAGACCTTCCCCATAAGCCGAGCATGCTTCCGTAAACCTTTCTGATTTGAACAAATCATTCCCACGAGCACGAGATCGGCACACAAGCCTCACCTTGTTAAGCATGGCTGTGGTTTCGATATTCCGAGGTTCTAACTTCATAGCTTTCTCAATGGCCGTCAGTGCATTCTCAAACCTGCAAACATTTGTCATTTACTCTACACAAGCACCCTATCAAAATTCAAATAAAACATTGCAAAATGCAAATCTCATCGACGCACCTCCCCTTGGCTAGTTCGATCTGTGCATTGACAAAGAAAAGGTGCGCCTCAAAAAGCATCCCAAATATCTTCGATTGGAATTGTGGTTCGGTAGATGTAGACGACTTTTGTATAACTGGCATAGCTAAAAAGGCTTCATTTAGTCGGTGAAGCTTCAAGAGAACTTCAGCCCGACATGCATAAAGCTGCAAGTTCAAATACAACCGGCCGGTCAAGTTGGAAAAACTATCCGATTACGATATTAAACAAAAATGGGAAATTGCATATCTGCCGACATAGGGAACATACATACATACATTAAGCAATATCCAACCATCTATACAAAATCATCAAGTAAAAGGATTATTCGAACATTTGGTACGTGCCATTTTACTATGAACGAATGTTTAAAAATGCACCTGTGGTGAAGCATTGGCTCCAGATGCAATGGCTGCATCAACTTCCCGCAATGCACTTCTCCAATCGCCGAGCCTTCGGGCATCAGCACATCTCTTAAGATGCTTGTCGATATATTCCAACTTGTGCATCTCCGTTGGGTCTGGTTTATATCCAGGAAGACAAATGTGCTTCCTCGCATCCTCGACCTGTCCTAAACTGCAAGCCGCTGAGGAATTAGATCAACTTGCGACATAATAGCACGAAAAAGCTAGAACATAAAGCCAGAAAGGAAAAAGGAAACATAAATACAAAAAAGAGAAACAATGAAGAGCATAAAACAAACACAGGATGGATAATAACAAACATGAATTAGTAATGAGCTGTCAAGTAATTACTGCATCGCAACGACACGTATCTGTTCAAGTTTGATCCGGATTGCCTTAACTAAAGTCACATAACAACAGGTGTAAAAGCATTGCATTGGCACGCTAGTCTATCCATTACTTCAGACTTGGCAAAATGTCGGATAGCCCGGGAAAGCTGTGTCCCACTAGAAACTAGAACCGCAAAAAAATGAAAAACTGAAACGACTAGTTGCGACACTGCCTGGGCCAGATTGTAATAAATGATAATGAGCACAAGTTGTAATAAAAAACAAACAGTCCCCATTCGACAAAAAATTCCTAATTTGAGCAGATTAGACACAGATCAGATCAACAACAGCACCTTCCATAGCCTGAATGGTGACTCACATAGCAATTCATACGGATTCTAAACGGTAAAACCAATCAATTCGAACCCACAAATTGCAACCAGATCAAATCTTGCAATCACAACTGAGATAACAAACAACTCGACCAAGATTCGTTTTACCCAGAAACCTTACCTAAAAGAGCAACTTCTTTCTTTCTAAGGCAAAATCAACAATCTTCCAATCATAACCAAATGACTCAACAGGCAAGAAAATCAAGCTTCAGTTTTTAACCACAGATTGATGAGTGATAAGAACAATCCAATAAAATTTGAGTGCAACAAAATCCAAATATTAATTCTAAAATGGAAAAATCAACAATCTGAATCAAATCTTGCAAATCACAACCTCCTAAGCAATTTAACAACGGGAACAACAAGATTCGACATTAAAGCTGCTGACATAGTCGAACCTACTAAGCAATTCAAGGTCACAGATTTCATTTTATCAAGAAAAATCACCAGAGCAATGCAACAACACGAAATCTTGAAACCATAACCTAACTAAGCAATGCTGCAAATATTAGATCAGAATAGGAGCAATTGAAGAATGAGTCATCAAGGCAGGCAGGGCAGGAATCTCACTCTCTCTCTCTCTCTCTCTCTCTCTCTCTTTCTACCTATCTCTCTTTCTCTCAAGTCTGACTCACCTAAGAAACAAGGATCCGAGGCGATGGTGCGCCCGCAGGTATCCGGGATCCAACTCTAGAGTTTCCTGGCACTCCTTGATGGCTTCTCCCAATCTATTCATCTCCATCAAAGCTGCGGATCGATTGAAATGGTAGGCAGCATTGCCGGGGGACAAGGCGATGGCCTTGTCATAAAGAGACAAAGCCTCCGAATATCTACCCTTTCGATAACTATCATTGCCCATTCTTTTCAACTCTTCGGGATTGGGATTGGGATTGGCACTGGCACTAGTAGTACTCCCAGCCCCAGCTGCCATTCGCTTCAAGGGCTCCCCTCCTCCTCCTCCTCCTACCACTAATCCTCGGGAGCTCAGGTCGGGCCCGGGCCCAGGCTTCGATGCGGGCCCTCCCCAGATTATGCTGCCGTGGCCATAGTTACCAGAGCCGGAGCCGAGTACGTCGGTCCTGGTGGACTTACTGGCCATGCCAGTCTTGACAATCCGGCCGGAGGGGCAAATGTTTCCGGTGGGGAGTACATTGACGGATGGAGATGGGGCTGGGGATGGAGACGTGGAGGTGGAGTTGGGGATGATGGGCGACCCGCTGGAGTAGGAGTAGGAGCGGGCGTGGCCGGGACGGACGGCAGCGGCGTATGGGGAGCTGTCAACAGAGAGTTCGCCGGAATGGCTCTTGGGATGGGAATCGGGTTTCCTTGGCAGATTTGAGTTGGACGTCCGGCCGGAGACCGATCCGGAGGAGCTGGAGCTGCTGCTGGCAGCGGCGCGGTTGCGAAGGGGTGAGACGGGAGAGCCCAGATCGAGTTCCCGGAAGTCGGGCTTGTTGGCGTCGCCGTCGTACGTCAAGCTATTGCGGAGGCGATCCGAAAGCGATTCTAGCGAGATTTCCGGCTTGTTTTTGCCCGACATTTTGGGTTGGGAGAGAGAGCAAGCAGTTCAACTCGGATCGGAAATCCCGGCAAGACGCTCAAAGAAGAACCCGGTACGGCGGAGAAGAGGGGGAATGCGACCGCGGCGGCGGCATAAAAGCGGAGTCGACGATGGGGATCTCGTGATTCTCCGGACAAATGTGAATAGGAAGGAAGAAAGGAGGTGCTGTGCTGTGCTGTCTGAGAGGAAGAAGAAGAGGAGGAGGAAGAGGAAGAGCAGCAGACAAACCCAAATCCGATTTTGATTTTGGGTTTGGGTTGAGAGAGAGAGAGAGACAGAAAGAGAATGGAAAGGGGTTTTGCCTTGGAGAGAGAGAGAGAGAGAGTGTGAAGAAATAACTTCTTAGCTGGCGTCCTCTCCTTCTTTTTGCCTCCCTCACGAGACTAAAGAGTTTTAATTTTTTTATTTATTTAGTCATTATCTCTATCCTATTTACTCTTTGCAATTTCCCCCTTTCTGTCTCTCTCTATATAAACATCACACATTTGCGCTTCGGCCCTCTCTTTATATATGCATTTTCTTAATCGTTCTAAATAAATTTAGTTTAGGTAATATGCTTTGCATTTTAGTAAAAATATATTTCCCATGTCATAATTTAAAGTATTTTTTTTATTATTTTTTCTGTGTCACTTTAAAATATTTATATTTTATTAAAAATAATTATATATTAATATCAAAATACTCTTTAATTTTTATCTAAATTATAAATATATCATTACTATTACTTTTTACATAAAGTCAAAAAGGTAAAAATATCAAAATATCTTACACATTTTCATTAACTAATAAAATATTATTATTTTTTAATTTATTACAAAATCTCAAATGGCTCCTGGACCGGGACGAAGGGAAGTATAAAATATTTGTATTTATTTTTTATGTGAAATTTTTGTGCTAATGTAAAATTTGCACAAAATTTATTTTTGATTGTAAATTTGACCTCAATAATACAAGTTTTCTAACTATAAAAGAAATAAAAAAAAATCTTAAATATTTTTTTAATAAAATAATTAATTAATTAATTAATTCTTTATTTTTTAATTTTTTGTAGATAAATTATTATCTTATTTTTATAAAAATTATTAAATAAATAAATAATCAATTATTTATTTATCTATTTTATTGAAAAAAAAAATTATTTAAGATATTTTAGATTTTTTATTTATATAGAACTTGTTTAATTTAAATTTTTATTTAAAATCAAAGGTCAACTATGATATGAGAGTGTTTTGTCCAAATTTTACATTAACACAATAAGATTTCACTAAATAAATAAAGCAGTTTGTTCACATAATATTTCTCCATGAAATAATGTCCCATAAATATTATTTAAAAAAACTACAAATATACACACATTAATATAAAATATTATTCACTTATAAAAAGTTAATCGTTCAACACAAAATATTATTTTTATATTACTAACACATTTTCTCATACCACACACAAATAGTACATACAAAAATCAATTCATCTAAAAATATTGAGTGAACAGACTCGGTATATTTTTTACTAAAATACAAGGTAATCTTATAGAATTTACCTTTTATTTTATTTAAATATTTGTTAAAATATAATACTCCCTCCATCACTTAACAATTTATCTATTTTTTACTCCTATAACAAAATATTTATTTCTTTTTTAAGTAACTACTTTTTTATTAATATTAAAAATACCCTAATAACTTACAATATATTACACATATATCATTACATTTATATCATACAATACTAATAAAATTATTTTAGTATTCTCTACTTTATTCATACTTAGATTTTAATATAATATTAATATTTTTAAAACTCCTACAAAATACAAATAAATTGATAAAGGACAAAATAAACAAATAAACAAAGTGACTGTATGTTTTATATTTGTAAGTAGATAAATATTTGCTACATGTAAATTTTATATAGAATTATACTTTTTTGGTCCTGATTCATTTTTTTATTGGTCCTATAAAATATTATTTTTTTTTATTTTTAATAAATTTATTTATTTAACAAATATAAATTAATTAAATTAAATTTTTAACTTATTATATATAGAAGTAATTTAAAATTCATTTATTTTTATATTTTAAATAAAAAATAAATTTATCTATATTTAAAATTTTTTATTTTTTATAAAATTAGTTTTAAGTTAATTATAAATAAATAAATAAATATATATATATTTTTTATTGATTTGTATTATATAAAATTTTATTATTTACAAAATAATATCATATTGCATATATTTTATTAAAATATAATCCTAAAAATATTTAAAATACCAACATTAATTATATAAAAAATAATAAAATAATATTTCATTTGTCTCGTCACATATGACCCTTTTTTTTGTTTGTCCCACGAAAGATGACATTATTTACTAAATTCATCAATTTTAAAAACAGTTAATAAATATAAATTAATTTAATTAAATTGCTAATTTCTTCTGCATAGAACTCACTCAAAATCCTCTTCTATCTATTTCTTCAATTAACATATATTTTTATTTACCTTTAAAACTTTCCATTTTTTATAAAATTGATTTATGGTAATGATAAATAAATAAATATATTTTTTATTTATTTGTATTATATAAAATTTTATTATATATACATATTGTATATATATTTTATTGAAATATAATATTTAAAATATTTAAACAGATATTTTAAAATTTTATAATCATTAAATAACTAGTCTTCACTATCTAAATAACAATTTATACTACCTAAATTCTCGTGCTCATACAAAATAGTTCATCTTTACCGAGACGGGGGAGTATTATTAAAGTATCATTAATAACTTATTAATTTACATTATCTAAAATATTTTATCCTCACTAAAAGGGTCATCTGACCGGAAACAAATAGAGTACTTTATATTTCACCTTTTATATTATAATTTAAATTTTATATATAATATTTTTCTTTTTTAAATATTTTATTAAAGAATACCGATAATGTTTAAAGATTAATATATTTTAATTTATTTAATATTCCTCAGTTCACTTAATATTGTATTTATTTTGTATTTTTGAATAAATATATATTTATGTTAAATATGAAAAATTGTGTTAGTAATTTTAATATTGGATAATTGATTTTTTGGGGAAACAGAGGATATATATATATTAGCTTTGGATTTCATGTTGATTGGACTTACACATCACTAGTGTGCTTATTTCATCTCTACTATCCATCTTAATAATAAATAGATTGTTCAAATTATTTACGAGTATAATTGTCTTTTTTTGATAGAGTGAACAATCGAGAATTTAGAAATTCACCTAGTTCTGTATTTAATTCAATCAAATGTTCTATGTATTTGTAAATGTTAAATCATTGCAAATGGATGCTAGTTTATTTTAATTAGTAATAGTTGAGTATTTTAATTATTAATGAATATCAATACATGCTAAAATATTTTCACATAATTAACAATAGTTTTGGTATTTTAACATGTACTCTAAATTAAGAATTTTATTGTATATCAAACTATGAATCAAGTATATATTAAATGTTGAAAACATCAAACAATATATTTTTTATTTAAATTTTAAATTCTTTTGTACAATGTAGAAATCTTGAATTATATGTTGTATTTAGTCGTATTAAGTTTCACGTTGAATAATATATTATAAAAAGTTTCATATGCACATGTGATGATGAAATCAATGAAACGGAATGCTAATTTAGTTTAATAATCTAAATATTTAATATAATAATGAATGCAAATACATGTTACTAAAATGATAAAGTGAAACAAAAGTGATGCTAATAGTTTAACTATATTTTAATTTTATGATTAACAGTAGTACGTTCAAAGTATGTTATTTATGTTCTACATTTTTTTTATTATTAAAGATGTATTTTTGAATCATAATATATTTTTGTTTCATTATTACGACGTATTGTTCAGATTTTTCCTACTTTTTTATTGGATGAACTTCATTTGAACTAGTTTTAGATTGCTATCTTCTTTGTACATCGTTTTGTTGCAAAAATATTTTATGTATTGAATATGATACGAATCATTTTTTTAAAAATTTTTTGTATCTTAATTTTAACTGCAAACCTCTCTATTATGTTCATAATCACAATAGAAATGGTATGCATCCTCTAGTTTTGTGAATTCTATTATATGTCAATCAATGGATTATGTTTATATTAAATGCTGAAAAATATCAAACAATATATTGTTTATTAAATATCAAAATATTGTTACACAGTTTAGAAAATGTTGAATTTTATATCGAACTATATAATATATTATGAAATGCTCCATCATGCATACATAAATGTTAAATTCAGCTGAATAAGATGGTAATTTATATTTATTAACATCAATTTTAATATTTTAATACAAAAATGATAGCTAATACTCCCTCTACCACATGTAATTGGTCCAGATTATTTTGGATACGGAATTTAAAAAAATTTGTTTTAAATAGTTAATTAGTTTGATTAATTTATGTAATATTTATAATATATTGTTATTTTAATTATTTTTATTAGTGAAATATTAAAATAAAATTGAAATTATTTATTTTGTATTATTTTATGATGAATATTTTATATTTTGAAATTAATTTTGCAAAAATAATTATTGTATTAATTGTAGAATAGTAATTATATATACCAAAAAACATTAAATTAATTTTAATAATCTAAAAATAATTAAAAAATAAAAATATGATATGACTATAAAATTTTTAATTTGAATAATATTTTACATAAAATTCTTCCAAGAGTAAATACTTAAAAATAATAACATTAATTGAATTTAATTATTGACCGTGACAATGTAATAGAAGAGTTCATAAATTTGTTCACTCTCACAAAATACTAATAACAGTTTCTAATAATACTCTCTCCGTCTACAAAGTTAATCCTATTTTTTTTTTTTGTAATTATACAAATAAATTTGAGCTAAATTTACCGAACAGATGAAGTAATATATTATTTTCTTTTACAAATATTTACAAAATAATAAAATTAAATATTTTAATATTATGTTGACAATTCTCAATAACTAAATATAAAACACAAAAGCAAATAAAAAAATCTAAATACTAACCTTTGTATATTTTTAATTTTTGAAAGAAATAGTATATAAATTCGATTCTCATTATTTACTAATTGTTCTATTCAAAATATTAAATTAAACAACCTAAAAAAATATTTTTGAGACTTTATGATTAATATTATTTAAAAAATATAATATATACAAATCAATACAATATATATACTACAAGCTTATAAAATTTAACAATTTGACGGAAAAATATTATTTTTTATATTGTCAGCACAATTCTCACAACAGTATATACGAACTGTATTGATTATAAATCATG